ATAAATTTAAGAGCAATGAACTTTATGAACTTCTTTATAATAAAAAATTGTTACTATAGAGAGAAAATTAGTCACCAAAACCTTGAATACTATGCAGTCTCCAAAGATCAGAAATTTTACCTAATCCACCTCAGATATTTATACGAATGTTTTTCCGCTATCGATCTCATCAGTTAACTTCAAATAAATTCTTCATCGAAGCCATCAACCTGTCTGATTAGATCCAATCCCCAACTAGGCTGCTAAAGAAGGTTGTACCCTTAATGGCACTTCTTTACGGATAACGATTAATCTTCTTATTGTCAGGAATGACCACATTACCTTTAAAGTAGCTGAATTAACCCTTCTTAAAAACCCAACTCTCACCAGGTTTAGCAAACTATAGACCGATTTCTATACTCCCTTTCTCCTCTAAGATTCTAAAAAATAGTCGCCAAACAGTTGTGTGACTTTTTACATACAATAATTTATTGAGGATTTTTCAGTCAGGATTTAGAGTTCATCACAGCACAGAGAAAGCTCTGGTTAAAGTTAGTAATGACCTTTTGATTTCTCGACAATGGTCTGCCTTACTTGATTATTAGATCTTAGCTCATTTGACACAATTTGACCAATAATATTCTTTTAAGAGACCTGAGCAACAAATTTGCATTAAAGGAACCGCACTAATCGTTAGGTCTTTTTATCAGATCGTTCACATTTGTTCATGTTAACTATAATCTTCAAAAATACTAACAGTTAATCATGAGTTCCACAGGTTCTGTACTTGGACCAATGCTATGATACCTTTATATATGCTCCCTTTAGGCCAACATTATTAGGAACACTCCATTAACTTCCATTGCTAGCAGATGATACGCATTATATCCTATCAAATCAAGCCTGATGAAAATTAATCAAATTATAAATTAACAAACATGTCTAAGGACATAAATCCTGGATGACGCAATTTTCTGATTTTAAACTCAGAAAAAAACAAATCTTATACTTGGCCCCAAAAAACCTCAGGAGACTCACTTTCCTAGAAGATATAACTACTCTAAGATGCCATTACCTTGGCCTCTAGCCACTGTCAGGATCTTGGAGTTACTTTGATCAGACTTGTCATTTAATCCCACAAAAAGCAAAAAAAAAGATCTCCAGGACTGCTCTTCATTTACGTAATATACTATAAAATTAGACACATCTTATCTAAACAGATCAAAAAACTAATCCATGCATTTGTTACAATTCAATCTGGATACCTCACTCTTTGTATCAGTGTTCCCTAATAAGTCCATTAACTGCCCAATAATCAAAACCTGCAGCACATAAAACTGACCAAACTAGGAAAAAGAGATCACATCTCTCCTTTCCTAGCTTGCTTCTGCATTGGCTCCCTGTTAAATTTAGAATAGAATTTAAAATCCTCCTCCCTCACCTATAAAACTCTTCTGGTCAGCCCCCTTCATATCTTAAGAGCTCATAAAGTACCATGAAAAATTAACCGCCTCTAAGAACTCTACTTCTCTAATGCTGGCTACTTTGTGTTCCTAATAGTCTCTAAAAGAGAAACAGGAGCCAAGCCTTCAGTTTACCAAGCTCCTCTCCTGTGAACCACTTCCAGTCAGTTCGTAGTCAAACCTCTCCAACAATTTAAGATAGGCTAAACATTTCCTATTGATAAAGCTTAATAAAGGCTGAATCAG